ACTCAGCGGCAGCTGGTGAGGGTGAGTCTATGGCTCACTTTCGGAGTCACTGTCATGCTGTCTTCCACATTGACTGCACATAGGACATTCCCACCAACAATGTGTCCACATCCTCACCATCCTCCTGGGGGCAGCGCTGTCCCCCGGCGGGTCTGATTTGCATCTCCCCGGGACTGATGACTTTCATGTGCAGGTCGGTCCCCTTTGCAGATGAGGCAGCACTGCTGGGTGATGACCCTGCTCTATACCTGGCCAAGGACAGAGTGGACAGCAGCCCCAGGGGTGGCACCAAGCCCTGACCCTTTCGGTAACTCAGTTGCTGCTCTGTGGGCCCAGAGAAGGTGAGTGTCCAGCCCAAGATCACACAGCTGCCGTAAGTGTGAAGCTAAAGCAAGAAGCTGCTCTGGTGTCTGCTCTGCTCTGTCCCTGAGACACGTGGGACCAGCAAGGAGTGCAGGGCACCCTACCCACAGCCCCTAACTCCCTATCCAGTCCCAGGCCTGTGGATGCTAGCCGCCATGGGCACCTGGTACTCACTTGGGCAACCTCTCTGGGATGGATCTGGGGAAAGCATGTGGAACTGGGGGTTTGAGGACCGTGTGTGCTAAGGCACACACACACACACACACACACACACACACACTCCCGGTTCTACAGTATCTGGAGTTTTCTCCAAGGTTTAGCCTTGAGCTCCTTCAGCTCCGTTCCCTGCCCCTCAGTCTAAATATGACAGCTGCATCTGAGACTCCCACTGACTTCTAAGAGCCAAGAGGAATATTTTTATGGTAAAAAATGACCTGATGTTGGATCAACCCTGGGAGGGTGGGCACGTCACCTGCAGGTGGCCCAGGCAGACGGATGAAGATTCTGCTTATGAAGGCCCTGCTCCCCCATTAATTAGGGGGGAGGGGCATACAAGCCCCCGCCAAGGCCAAAAGCTTGTCAACATTTTTCCACGAAGAATGAAAATGTAAATAACTTTAAGATTATTCAATGTCACCAAGGTATGGAAAAAGGTCACAATGCTGGCTGTCATTTATCTCATTGTGGATATAAAGAGCTTTTTTCTATTAAATTTCTTAAAATTAATGTTTTATGTTGCTCAGAGTAATTTGAACAATTATGGCCTTAAAGAATTGATCATTATGGCTCTGGGGACTTGGGGCCCAGACGGATCCTGGTGAAAAGCCACTGATTTATGGTGTTGATGCTCAACTCAACCAGACAAGTCTCCGGCTGGGATCCTCCCCCTCTTGTCTTCACCTGGGGGTGGGGAGGAGAACCCCAAGATAAACACCATCAGAGAGCATCCCCTGGAGAATGTGTCCCCTAGTCTGGGGAGAGAAGATGGGTTACTGAAAGGCCCCAGGCTTCTCCTGATACAGGAGTCCTTTGGGGGAGAAAAGAAGCCCCTTGGGTGAATTTTATATTTAAAAGGAAAGAGGGGCTTTTATGTCTTGGTGGAAATGGTTATTTTTATTTTTCAGAAAATCACGACTTGGAATGCAGTAGGATCATTAGCTTCAAAAGTCAAGAAACCAAGTGGGTGAGTAGGCACCCCTCCCTTTGCTCCTCATCGTGCCCCCACTAGGGCCCTCAGCCGCTTTCCTGCTCGCCCTACACGAAAAGGGGCCATGGAGCCAGGGTGGGAAACCGTGCCTCCCTCGTCACTCCCAGGCCTTGCCAAAACGAAGCTGGAAGAAAACGGAAAAATAACCACTTGAACAAAGGTAGCCCCCCTGCCCACCGCCCCCGAGCTGCTGCAGCGAGGCATCAAGGTATCACCCTTCCCCCAGCAGTCTCCTCCCACACAGCCCCCCCTCCTGCCCCAGCCGCCCCTCCAGGCCCTGAGACCCCTGGTCAGCATTGGACGGGGTCGAAGGCTTCCAGATAGATGAACCCCCTCATGCCCAGCTCCAAGGGGAGATAGGGCGCCAGGAATCCTGTCTTTCGGGCCTCTCACTGAGCGTTGACTTGCCCCCCATCGGTCATGCCCCAAACACACCCGCTCAGAAACTCCGCACCGCGAAATTGTTCAAATCAGTCGTCTCCGTGAGACCCCAGCGGACCGGTCCCCCGCGATCGTAGGTTGGAGGTCTTCTGTTTTTCCTCTCCCCAGCCCGGGCCAGCAGAAGCGCCTAGGTCCATAGGTCAAGGACCCGCTCCTGCTGAGATCGTACCACCCCCACCCCCACCTGTAACCGAGGCGCAGACACGCCCTGCATCTATGGTCTGGGGTCTAGCCCACCGGGCTGCACGTGGGTCCCGGACACACCTGGGAGCCCGGCGTGGGACTGTGTCGGAGCGGCGCCCCTCCATCCAGAGCTTGGCCCTTTAAAGGGGGAAACCGTTAACGAGTTGATGACAGTAAGAGACTCCCTGGTCATGGTGGCTCCCCACTGCGGAGTCCCCACGGGCCGGGCCTTCCAGGTTTACTTATCACCTCCTCCCGGGCAGGGCTGCGGCTGCATGTGCCCCCCCCCCCACTACCCCATAAGGGTGAGAATGGGCTTCGGGATTATCGACTGGCCACCAGCTGGAGCGAGCTCGCTGGACCGGGCTGCAGACAGGCAGAGCGCCCATTGGGAACACTTAGCACTTTATTAACCTGTCAGCGCCTAAAAGGTCCCGGGTGGTCTAGAGGAGGGGCTGTAGGCTGGGGGTATGTGGGCAGTGTTGATGGGGGTGGCTGAGGATTTATGGTCCTATCTCCCCACCCTGCCAAGAAGACCTTTCCTGGCCCTGGGCGACCACGGCCCTCGCCCCCCCTTCCTGGACTGCCTCACGGGCCACCTGGCAGTTTCACTGTCCTTTCAGCGGAGCCCGCCCCCCCAGCCTTCCCTCCCCAGAGCTTCCAAGATCTAGCTCCTTGTCGTGGTCCACGTGGCTACTGTCCCTAAGTGCTATGGCACCCTTTAGTCCGAATCCCCACCCGCTTCCAAGCTCACTTCCAACGGGCTCTTCTCCCTGGTCCCCCTGCTCCCTCCGCACACAGAGTCCCCAGCAGATTCAGAAACCCAGGACTTGGTCCTCAGCTTTCTTATGCAGGCCTCCCCCAGCCCCTTGAATTCATGTGAGGAGCTTGAAACTGCAGAGTCTGAGCGCCACCAGGGGCCCTCACCTACACCGCCCTTCTCTCACGCCTTCCCAACTGCCCCCTCCGCATCGTGTCAGACGTCCTTTAGATACCAAGGAGCACTTGATGTCAGCCAGGCCAAGGGGCCCATCTGTCCCCAGTGAGGGTGACTGATGGAAGTTTTGCAGTCTACCTGTCTGAGGGGACCACTGGACAGGCCTTTTGCAGGCTCTGTTGAGCAGGTACCTTAGGGGGCTGAGGCTGGGACTGCCTCACACCTCCCCTCCCAGTGGGGAGTGTGAGACTTCAAGGGGTCCGGTGACTTGCCTAGGGCCACATAGCAAATGAGCAGACAGGCTGGGACTGAACTAAAGTCAGAGGGACCTGTGCCCAGGTGGCGTCCACCATCCCTCTCCTGGGGCCACTGCCAGCTCCAGCATGCTGAGAGAGCCGCCAGCTGTGCCAGGCAGTCCGGCCTCAGTCACACTCCCTGGGCCACGGGGTACGGACTCACATGCCACCCTTGCTGGCTTCCTGGGAGTCCCAACCCCCACCTCTCCCAGGGACGGTTTGAAGCTCCACTTTCACCCTTTCAGGTGAATTGTCTTTTCCCCTCCTCCCCTCCAGAAGTTTGGTCAAGACCCAGGGGCGAGTGTAAAACCCACACCAGGCGCCCCTACCCCTACCCCAGTAGCTCCTCCAGCCAACCTTCAAAGAGCGTCCACTGGTCTTGCCCAGCCAGTGTACCCCACTTGCATACCTACCTACATCCTCTAGCTTTATACCCTAGCCTGCCTCACTAAAGACACTGGCCTTCCATCGAACGCAACGAACACATTTATTGCAGTCTTGGAAAGAGTCGTTCATTGGAGGATAAATAAAAGACACTGGACATTCACAGACCAACAGGTAGCCTGAGAGATGTGTTTCGAACGTGACTCTAACTTATACACAGGCCCCAGAAACACTCACCAGCATCTGATGGAGGTGGGAAGGCCCTCCGGGGAGCATCTTGTGCCCCCACCTCCTTCCCCAACCAGAGACGTGCTAATCCAGGGGGCAGAGGCAATTTGGAAGGAGGGTAGGTTGTTTGGCAGTGGGCATAGCTGAGATGCGTGGGTAACTACTTATTTAGGGCTGAAAGGGGGAGAGGCTCTGTCAAAGAATTAATCTTGAAGAAGAAGGGTCTGAGGATTCTGCTTTCTCAGAAGGAAAGCTTTAGAACAATTCATCTGCCTTAAGGGGAAGGCCAAAGAAGCCCCAGGGGAAGGGACTGGTGACAGGGAGCCCCTCGGAAAGAAAGGAGCACAGGGGTCCTGGGTCAAGATCTTCTCAGTGACCTCAGAGCCACAAAGAACTCGGCATGTACCATGCCCCCACCCCCAGCCACCTCTGACCTGGGGGGCAGTGTGTGTACACAACTCAGAGACTTGTGGAGTACTGAGTACTGGACAGGACAGGAAAGCGTGCTTGTGGTCTTGTTGTTATTTTAATTTTGGAAATTAAAGCATTTTCCAGCCCAAGGGCTGAGCTAGGCTGGGCTGGGTAAGGCGGGATGGAGGCCGGGCTTCGTAATCGTCCACACTTCACGTCTGTGCACAGCAGCGAGCACTCAGTTGGTCAATAAAAGGAGAAATCTGCTTACAAAACAAAGGGAGTCTTGCCAGCTTGCTGGGCGGCCACTAGGCAGGCCACTGGGCCCTAGGAGGTGCCTCCTCAGGACTGTGGACCAGGCTGTGGGCAGCTCCACGTACGTAAGGGTACTCGATGTTCTCGCCCATCCGGGCACCAGCAGCGCCTGCTCCTGGGAGGGGGTGGTGTGTGTGTCCAGGCTTGGGGTGGAACGCGCAGCCAGCCTCCCTCCCCCACCTCCCCGGGCAGTTCTATGGGTCCTCTGGGCGTTGCTCGGTGGAGCCGGCCTCCGTCAGAATTGAGCATGGTCCACCTCATCCAGCCAGGAGGCGGGGCTGGCGGGAAAATCCGGGTAGCCCCCGCTGCTTCCTGTAGACAGGTCAGAGCTGGGTCCATTTCCCGCCAGCACCCTCATGGGTGGGGGCCCTCCCGGGGCCCCCGAGGGCACGAGGCCCAAGCCGGGATCCGGGTACACCAAGCTGGAGAGCAGGGGCTGTGGGCCAGGCAGGCTCTGCAGGGCGGCCGGGGATGGGGGGACACCGAAGGGGCTGCCAGGACGCAGCTCTCGGTAGGACTCCGGGCCCCCCAGGCCTCCGTGCTCTAGCGAGAAACTGCTGGGTGCTCCAGAGGGCCGGCCCAGGGCAGGGGCGGGCTCTCCCAGGTTGCCGTAGAGGCCGTTGGTGGGGCCCATTTCTGCTATGGAGGGCTCATCTGCAATAGAAACACAGGCAGCTCAGTGCCTGCCTTGCTCCTCCCCCTACCCTCTGTCCTGCTCCCTCCTCAACTCCCTGCAACACCCCCACCCCAATACCGCTCATCCTGACAAGTCTAAACTGGAATGGGGCAGGAACCATCCAAGCCAGAACCTTTGGTGCCAGGGCAGTCCCCAAAGGCAGCCCAGGGTGAGCAGGGTGGAACAGATACCACCATGGCCCCCATTGTGCAGATGAGTAAATCAAGTCCCAGAGAGACTGCATGAATACACTAAAGTCACAAACACACTGCAGATGGGCACCAAGGTGTGGGTGAGCCTCAGAGGTGTGACAGAATGAAATAAGCAGGCTTTGTAAATCACACAAAGTTGGCAGTTCAAATCCACCAGCTAGCTGCTCCTTGGAGACCCTATATACGGTGGCTATCAGTTGGCACTGACATGATAGCACTTAACAACAACACAGAGAAGGGTGGGAGTTATCTCCGTCACAGGAGGACCCGTTCACTGGAACCCCAAGAAGCCAGGAATTGGGTTACTGGCTCCCAAAATGAGCCCCTAGAATCCAGTGCAGTAGCCAAGTGAACCTTCCAGGTGAGAAGGTCTGGTGGGTCCCACTTTAAGTAACTACAGGCCACCCACTGGGATTTTCTCCCTCCGTAGGGCATAGCCATGGTCCTTGTGGCCAACCCCCTCACTAAAACAAAACAAAACAAAACAGGATGAGTAGGATCAATCCAAAAACCAATTCATAAAACTAAAAGGACCAATAAATCGGCTGTCCAATTTCTAGCAGGCAGCGTAGAGTCCGCCGCAGTGCCCACGGAGGGGACCACACATACCCGTGAAGGAGACCTCCGCGTCGCTGTCCTGCCCCTCCTCCTGGACGCTGTCCTTGTCGGATTTGGAGCTGCCCCGGGAGCGCTTCATATTGCGAAAATACTGTCCCCAGCGTTGCCGACCCGCGTCCTTCTTCAACCTTTTCTCCTTGGCCCGGCGGTTCTGAAACCAGACCTGGGGGGTGGGGGTGGGGTGACGGGGGCAGGTACGAGGGTGGGTGAGTGGCAGCCGCCGACCAGCGGCTCCCGATCCCTCGAGGCTTCTTTTCATGATAGGACCCTGGGGACAAGGGCGGACGAGGGCCGCGGCGCTGACCTGCACGACGCGCATGTCCAAGCCTGTCTCGGAGGAGAGCTGCTCGCGCACGTGGCGCGCGGGCTTGGGCGAGTTGTTGTAGGCGCTCTTCAGCGTCTCCAGCTGCTTGGCTGTGATGGTCGTGCGCGGTCGCTTGGCCGTGGCCTCGGCTTCTGCACCGGGAGGCAACGGGTGAGGTGGGCCCGCCGCCTGCTCGCCCCGCCCGCCCCCAGTCGGGCGCAGAGGTCGAAGGCTCAGTGCGCCCATCCCTTGAGGTCCTGCTACCCGCGCTGGCGGTGTTTCGGAAGAACACCAGAGCGCTGCACGCGGACGGAAAAAGGAGCCGTCCGGCTGGGCTGGGGTAGTCGGTGGAGGACAAGGGGCTCCATCTCTTCCGCTTCGCAATACAGCGCCCTCTCCCACAGCGGTTCCCTTTGTTCTAGGAGCGTAGAAAGCGTTGGCTCTCCAAGGTTAAGATAAAAGTTAAGGGCCATTCTAGATAAATCCGACGTTAGTCCTCCGTGCTCGCTAGACTGAGGGGTGGGGGTGGGGGGCAAGACCGCAGCCTTCCCCTTGCTGGAGAGTAGTTTTGCTAATTCTCTTCTCAGCCTATCAACCCGATGGACCGCAGTATCCTCACTAAAAACGCACCGCCTGTGTCCCCAGCCACCCGTGCCCCCTGAGACCCCATGTCCTGCTCCCGAGCCAAGTTAGCAAAGGAGGGTATGGGTGGAAGGTGGGGGACACTGACCCCGTTGCTTAGCCGTCTCGTAGTCCGCCTTGCACACGAGCCGGCTGTCTTCCATGAGGTAGAACTCGTCGCCTGTGGCCAGCTGCCGCTTGCACACGACGCAGGCAAAGCAGTGCAGGTGGTACACGAAGTCCTGGGCGCGGCGCACCACCTGCGTGGGCGGGATGCCCAGCTGGCATGCGGCGCATTTGGTCCCGAAGCGCCTAGGAGGCACAGGACAGCGGTGGTTCAGCGCGCTCCTTAGGCCGTTCGCTCCGAGCGGGTCTAGAGCGGCGGGCGCAGCCGCAGTGCAGGGTGGCTGGGCAGAGATGTGCCGCGCTGCCCCGTTCACCTGCCTGGCAGCCGCGCCAGCTGCACTCAGACCACGGAAAAGAGACCCCAATCTCTTGGGAAAACCCCCCTCCGTGCTGGACTGGGATTAGCAGGACCATGCAGGCTGCTGGATTCCTTAAACCCAGGGACCTAAATCCTCACGGGCATGTGGGGGCTAGACCCTCCCTATTAACAACAAAACCAAGACAGTAAGTCCAAGAATTCTTCAAATGAGTTTCCTTTTTTTTTTTTTTTTTTAAGGACAGCGTCATTGGCTTCTTGTTGTTATTGTTAAGTGCCATCAAGTTTATTCCAACTCATAGCGACCCTGTATAGGGTTCCCAAGGAGCAACTGGTGAGTTTGAACCGCCGACCTTGTATTTCAAACCGACCTTGAGGTCCAGTTCAAACCCACCGGTGGGGAGGGGGGGGGCTGTCCTGGGAAGGAAGATGAGGCAGTCTGCTTTTGTAAAGACTTGGAAATCTTATGGGGAAATTCTACTCTGTCCTATAGCGTTACTAGGAGTTGAAATTGACTAGAAATTGACTAGCGGTTTACAAAATACCTTGTTATTTTTCTCTTTGCAAAGAATATTTGCTGATGTTCCTGCCCAACCCAGCCCAGCACCCTGATCTCAGCCCCTAGGTGGGCTGGAAATTTGTCTGGAGGCAAAGGTAACCAGGGGCCTCCGGATTTGGTTGTTGTGTTGGGAGAGTCGGGGCCAGTCTGTGTTGTTGGCCCCCCTGCACACCCACCCCACCTGTCGCTGCTCACTTAAAGAAGTCATCTTTACAGTAGACGCTTTCTCCACGACTGAAGCAGCGGTCGGCCAGCGGCGTGTGGCAGTCGCTGCATTTGAGGCACTTGCTGTGCCAATGTCGGTCCAGAGCCTTGAGGATGAACCGGTCCAGGATGTGCTGATCGCAGCCGGCGCACAGCGGGATCTCTGTGGACACAGGACACTGCTGGTCATGGGTGCCGTCAGAGGGCTGGCTGTCCCCTCCTTTCCTCTTCCAGGACTCAGCGCTGTCTGCCTGGCTCCCCAAGAACAAGCAGGGGGGCCACAGCATCCAATGCCTGGCATGCAGCTAATGGGAGAACTGGGCCAGGATAGAAAGGTACCTGCAAGCAGTGGGGGGCAGCAAGACTGCTCCACCTGGTTTCTCCTCACTACAAAACACCCCCAGGAATTTTGCTCCAAGGAAACCCCACCCAGGGACTCTGTTCTTAAATGTTGGGCCAGAAAACGGGTCTTTCCGGTCACCTAGAGGCCAGGCAGGAGAACTCAGGTGTTAGAAGTGCTCACCCGATGCCCGTGCACCCTCATTTTACACAATTAAGCATCGTGGCTGGCCACTGGGAAGAGATCATGCACATTTGACAGTCCAGAAATCGCCCTTGCTTTCTTACAGTGCCCCAGAGATATTTGTGGGTACAGTAGAGTGGGATGTGGGGGCCGCGCACAGTCGTAATTACTCAAACCCCTGTTCTCCGTGGATCCCCCACCCAGGGGACTACAAGGAAGAAACCAGATGGGGAGCGCTCCAGGTGGCCGGAGGGGCCACAGTGTCTGAGGGGTCTTGCTAGGTGCTTCTGGGATGAGGATGTGGTTAATTTTAAAAGGTCTCGGGAAGAGGGGCAGCGGAGTTGGGCCCTACACAAATAATGCACTTCCTCTCACCGTTCGGGAAGCCTCCCCAACCGGTTCCAAGTGCCCGACTTTCTGGGCTCCAGGCCGAGAGACTTGTCTCCCGCGCGCGGCGGCAGGATACTGTGAAGGACGCCGTCCCGCGTCGGGCAAAAATCACTGCCCGGATGCGGAGAGTGGGGACCGGCGTGCGCACCTGGGGTTCCAGCCCCAGATGCGATTGCAAGGCGGCAGACGCCGTGAGATTTCAGCACCGAAGTATGGACAGCGCCCCGCTGGTGCCCCCACGGAGCCCGCTTGTGACAAAGTCCGCCCGCCGCCGCGCCTCCGGCCCCGCACTTCCTCCCCGCGTGACCCGCGAAGCCCCGGTGACCCCGGCCTTACGCTGCATGGCGACTACAACCCCGCGGGGTCTTGGACCCCAGCGCCGACTGAGCTCGCTGTCGGTGCAGCCTCCACGGTCCGCTCCCCTCAAGCTCTCCCCAGCGCTGAGCTCAGCGCCTTCCTTCCCACCCTCCCGTCCCTCCCACCTCTCTCCCAGCCCCTGTGGCCACCCCCTCCCAAGAACGCTCGGAAAATAAATAAATAAGTAGGGGACGGTGCGGCCCCACAGCCCGGATGAAGCTCCCTTCCCCAGCCGGCGCCTCCGACTCCATCCCGCCTGGAGCCCGCGCCCAAAGCCTCATCTCAGAGCGGGACTGGTCCACCAAGCAGTCGGGGATCGGGCCCATAGAGCAGGTGTGTGTGTGCAGCCCGAATTAGACCCAAATTAGGGGCACACGGGCCAGGAGCGGTCCTCTAAGGAGCCCACAATCACCAGACAGCACAGTTGTCCCCTGTAGCGCCCAATTCTGGGGCCCTAGGAAGCCTCCCCACCTGACGGACACACGGGGTAGAGTCTGACAAAACTCACCCCTGGAGCCCTGGGCCGGGACATACGGGGTCCCTGCACCCACACCCACCCACAGCCTTCGCGGCCAGGTCCGTAAAGAAACGAGGCCCTCCGGGTCTCCCCGAGGTCCGCCTTCCCCCGTTCGGCGCACGGCCCGTCACCCACCTCGGCGCAGGTCCTCCCTTCGTGCTAGCAGCGCCAGCAGCAGGTCACTGCCAGCCGACTCCCGGACCGGGCCCAGCTCCCCGCGGGCCTCCATGACCCCCGGATGCGGCCACCGCCGCCGCCTATCGGCCCTCACTTTCCCGGGGCCCTAGTGGCCCGGGTGGCGTTCGAACGACTACCGGCGCTGCCTGGGCGCTGCCGGGCCGTCGCTCCGGGGCCCGAACCGCTGGGAGTGCTGGGGGCGGGGCGCGCGGGGCGGGGCCTGGGCGGGGCCGGGGGGTCTCCGAGACGCCCCTCTGGGACGGCTGAGGGCTTTGCAGGCCTTTGAGCGAAGCCCGGAGTGCCCAGACGCCGCCGGGGAGCCAGGTCCGAAGGTGGGGACAGGCAGGGAGGAACCGACTGGGGCTGCTCGCTCGCCGTCCACTCGCCTGTGCCCTCCAGCTTCCGGCACGGCACCGACGCTGGTCGCGGCCTGGCTTGTGCGCTTATGGGATGGGGACGCTCAGGGTCCCGGAGAAGGGGTTCAGGGAAGAAGCCGGATCTTCCTGCCGCGGAGCCTCAGGCCTGAAAGCCGGCACTGTACGCACCTAGCGCGACCCTTTAGGTAGGGTGAGTGTGGTACCCAGGCCTCACCATGCAGCCAGGAGAGCCGTCTGCTTGGTTCAGGCCAAACTCCGGGCCACCCCTGGAACTGCCGACCCCAGGTTTGGGCGGGGTTCCGGAAGGGATGTAGCCAGGACCCCTGGGAGCCACTCTGGATTCCTGCACCTTCCCCAACACTGAGACTTTAATAGAACTGAGGCCCCATTCAGCGCCCGAATTTCCAACCTGTGTCCTACACGGGCAGGCCCCGAGCCCACCCGTCCTTGCACGGAGAGCGAAGATTCCTGGCTGCTGCCCTAGCACACACCTGCCCTCAGCACCTCCCCACAGAGACTTGGGGAGGGGAGGGAAGTGGTATGGGGCAATTCCATCCCCCAGGCCCCCCACATGGGGGTCGGACACCAAGTCCCTGCCTTCTGCTTCTGACCTGGGGCTCCTAGTCTTTCACAGCCTGATGTTAAGGACCCCTAAGATGGGAGGAGGGGGACATCTCTGTTTGTGCGGAGCAGCCTGTGAAAGTGCACCCCAGAAGCGACAGGTCAAGGGCTCTGTGGATACCTTCAGTGGCTTTGGAGGCCCGCATGAGGGCATGTGGCCTGTCCCTGCTGGGAAGGGATCGGGCACCGGTTGGAGGCCGCGGCCCCGCGCAGTCGACATCTGGCCGGTGCGCCAACAATGCCTTCATTATTTCCCAACGGCCGCGGCCATCTAATGGCCCTTGGGGAGGGCGCTTCAGGCCTGAGGGCTGCAGGGCCCCAAGCTCCTGCCCTTGGGCAGTTTGAGGAGGCCGACTGCGCTGTGCACTGGAGCTGAGGAATGACCCCATCACATTCTGTCTCCGACGTGCGGAGGCTCCAAACCTCAGCTCTAAGCCTTCTGCGCAACCGACCTGGGGACACTGGGCCATCTCAGATATCCGCCCCAGACTCTTTGACGTCTACCTTACTTCCCGGCACTCGCCTGTCTGTCTCTGACGCCCGTGCCCATTCTCCCCCTTGGTCACTCCTGCCCAGGCTGAGGCCGGCGGGGCTCTCTTACCCCGAGTCCCGCCGAAGGTGCGGACCGTGGTGGCTGCTGGGGGTCCGGACCTTTCTCGGTCGCGCTCGAGCTCCGCTTCCAGCAGCATCGCGGCCGCGGGGAGGAAGTGCGCGGGCTGAGCGCTCCTGCCCTGGCCCTGGACTCCTCGTCTCTCGGAGGCTCGGAGCTCCTGAGACCCGCCCACGTCCTAGTCTGGCTCCTGAGCCACTGGGCCCGTTCGCTGTCCGCGGTGCTGAAGGAGGCGTCGCGCCCGCCCCCCACCCCAGTCGCCCCCGGCCCCGCCCCCTCCCCGACCCTTGCCCTTCCCCTTTGGAGTCCTCCCCACCCGGCCCTTCTTCCCCAGCCTCCCCCTCGTTCCCTGGTACCCCGGCCGTCTCCCCGCCCCCTCCCAGATTCCCGCCTCCTCCCCAGTTCTGCGCCCTCCCCGTGCCGTCTCCAGTCCTTCTTCCACAACTCCCACCCTTTTACCCCGGCACCCTCAGCCGCCTCCTTGCCCTGTCCCTGCCCGCCTCCACCGGCCCGCAGGGTGCCAGCATCCCGGGCGGCCTTCCCCAGCCCAAAGCGTAGAACCGGAGGCGGTCGGAAGCGCCACGTCTTCGCAGCAAGCGGGCTTAGCCGAGGGGCTCGTAGCCAGCCGGCCACAGCAGAACGACGCTGTACGACTCAGAGAGGCCACCTGCTGCTGTGGCCTGCAACCTCCGCTCTCCTCTTCCTTCGTTCATGCTACCAGCTCGGCACCTCCAAACCGAAGTGCGCTCAGCCAAACAGCGCCGCAGGTGCCGTGGGGCCAGGTGGAGCCGTGAGGGCCACAGGAGCCTTAACTGCCCGTGGTCCTCAGGGGGCAGGGGGCGTTTCTCTCCCCACAGAGGGGGTAGCAGATTCTCAGAGCCTGCAGCCCAGGTCTCCCTAGAGCTCGCTGCGCTGCGCCGCGCTGTGGGAAAGTGTGCGCTAGGAGTCCTGGGCGCTGCCTAACCCCGGCACCTCTGGAGGGCCCAGCTACCGGTTTCCACCCATCTCCCTCAGAAGGGGAAGGAGAAAATGTGACCCAGTCCTATGTGGGGCGGACCCCAAGAAAACCATCCCTGGTCAACCCCCGGCTTTCACTTTCCACTTGATCCGGGATTGTCTTCCAGAACACTTCTGCTTCAACAAAACAAGCTGAAAACTTGTCTGAACCCCGCCCCTCCCCCAGCTCTCCCTTTGGCAGACCGGGACACTTTTCAAAAGAAAGCCAATTTTTTCAAATGTCAGATTTATTTAAAAAAATGAGCACATTATGTTTATTTAAGTACAAAACCTATTATTTCCCCCACAGGTAGAAACCCCATTGACATTGCCAGGTCAGTTAACTTTACTCAAAACCATCCCATTAAAAATAAATAGACATTTAAATTACAGAACTATTATATTCATTTCAATACCTCTTATGTTAAAAATTTCAGAAAATATTCCTTAACCCTTTCCTGCCGGTGAGGTCCAGGTCTGAGCAGCTGCCAGGTGTGTGGTCTGCACTCACCTGCTCCCCACTATGCTGTGTCCCCTTCTTGTGACAGTGATAAGGAGGCCCTGGCTATGAAAGATCTACCCATGCCTCCTCTACAGGGTCCCCCAAAGGGTGACATCAAACTGCAGTTATCAAAAAACTTGAAAGCCTGTGTTGCCTTTGAACTGGATTTTAGTGCAGCTGAGGAAGGGCTGGACCTGTCCATCTGCTGTGCTCAAGCTGAAGGAAGGGAGGCCCAGTGTCCGAGGAACCCAGCTCACACCTACCTGGGAGGTTACAATACAGCAGCTTCTCTGGGTTAAACAAAGTGGGAAGGAAGAAATACATCCAAGGCCATGACACTGCCAATAGTGCCTGTCCCAGAGAGCTGGGGGACCAGACCCCACTGGCCTCTTGCTCTTCAGGCTGCCCCTCACTGGAAGGGGAAGTGAGAGCCGGGGACACCCTTCAGGACAGTGAGGGGGCGGAATTCTGAGCAGCTCTCAAGGCTCCCATGACATGCTTTTATCAAATGAGTGTAAAACAGTCAAAATGGCCAACACACCCCACCAGCATGCTGAGAAGATGGTACACACACACACACACACACACACACACACACACGCACACACACGTCCACACATTTTACCCCAATAAAAGGAAGCTGGAGAGACAGACCCACAGAGAGGAAAGGTTCCCAGCATTATGGTGGTTGGTTTTACATCTTCAGATGCAAGTTGACCACTAAATGTGTTGGGCCTTTACAAACAATGTTTTAAACATTAAATGGTGAAGAAATGAGGGCCAGGTGGGGCCTTGCGCCAGACGTTGCTCAGAGGATGCCAGGTGAGTCAGTCTGGCTGTAAGGAGGTCCCCCAAAGCAGGATCTGGAGTCTCGGGTATCAGAGGGGAACGTCTGGCTGCTTGCCCATCTCCTCTGCAGGCCAAGACACACATACATTAAAAGTCTCTTCACAGTGGCGTACCTCCCCCTCACGTTCCTACCAGGGACCTCTGTGCACAGAGCAGGGTGACAAAACACCCACAGAAGCAGACCCCAACTGCTGAAAAGTATCAGGAAGGCAAAGGGGGCTTCAGGCTCTCCTCTGGTACAGCGTGGCCCACCAGCTAAGTCTCGTGGTGGAGGGGGCTGCTCTTTGGCACTCAGAAACCCTGTGTGAACTGGGGACAGGAGAGGGGAGTGTGTTCCTGTGGCCTGGCCTCCGGTCCTCTGACCTAGCCGCTGGAACCAGAGAAGGGCTTTTTCTGTGACAGACTGATCTGGAAAGGCAGACCAAGGCTGCCCTGAGGGCCCACGCCCCGCCCTGTCCCCGGTAGGGGCTCAGCAGTTCTCCATGGGTGCTTGTGAGATCCTGACATAAATGACAGCTGTGAAGGCAAGCCGGTGGCGGCCACCCCAAGGCCTAGACCATGGGCGGGTAGTGCTTCACCGTCCACCGCCTGGACCTCATGCGGAAGAAGAAGTACATGACCATTAGGAACAGGGACGAGGCCACATAGAGCAGGACACAGAGACTCATGTCCAGGTTGGAGAAGCCAACCCCAAGGAAGGGCACAGTGGAGGCGGGCTCCAGGCGGGCCTTGCTGTCTGCTCTGCCAGGCAAGTTCTCCCACAGAAGGGGCTGGGGGCCCAGGGTGTCAGGAGGATGGAGGCTGCTGGGGTGCCCTCCGTGCCCCTCCTGGCCCAGCCCCCTGGGCTCTGCAGAGTAGGTGTCCAGCAGGTTGGCACGGCTGTAGTACTGCTGCAAGAAGAGGAGCACCTGGCCCTCGTCCCAGCTGTCCAGGCCCTTGACTTCCTCGTGGCAGGCTGGGCAGAGATCCGGGGTGGGCCATGGGGCCTTGGGGAACCTGGGGTCCTCGCTCAGTTGGCCTGGAAAAGAGAGAGGCGGATGATGGAGCTGACCCTGCCCCTCCCCACCTGTCAGACTGTCCCCCTAGAACCCCCATGTGAGCGGTTCCCTCTCCCAGGGGGCTAAAGGACACTTCCAACCCCTGCTCTACCTGCTGGGATGCTCCGTGGACCACGCGCGGCCCCGCCCACCTCCCTCCTCCTCTGCTTGTCTGTCTCAGGCCCACAGCCCACACACTCCCCGCCCTATGTCTGCCCTGAAGTGACCACCCCGTCAGGATCTCTGAAAACTACTCCATTAGTGATGAGTGCTGGTTGCAGGGGAAACTGAGGCCTCCAATCCATTCCACAGATGCCCAAGAGGAAAGTGGCTCATCCACTTTTAAACCACATGGATTTCTCAGACGGAGTCTGTCACGCCCCATGTCTACAGCATTTCAGTCAGCCAAGGTTTCCCTGCCAGCTGATGCCCACTACAGAGCCCTGATGCATGTTACGGCCATCTAATGGGCTCTCGCTGTGGACAGTGAGCATCCCCACACACAGCTCTGGGGACTGGTCTGATGGCAGCGTTCAGGGGCATGGAAAGTGGGAAGCTGATTCAGACATCACACATTACTTCCTAAAGGGCTGGAGAGCTAC